TATAAATTGATGAATACCTTGAGTATCCTGATATTCCAAAACACTTGGATCCTGTGTGATAGCATTCATCAATGTTGGGATATCTCCTTTACCAGCAGAACCATGTGCATTGAAAAAACAATCTTCATTATCACTTTTCTCTTCCTCCTCATCGTCTACAAGAAAAAAAGTCATTTATATACTTAATTTTCTGCTCAATAATAATATTTGCCTGGCAGAACGCTTTAATAGCTCAGACACTGAAATTAAATATTTGATGAATAGATGTTGTTGTCATGGTAATATGGATAATTACAGGCAATCCTTATTCCTGAACCTGACTTTTTCTTTTCTGTCATGATTTTCCAGAACCAATTACGCTTTAGATCCAGAGAGACATAAGGCAGCCAGAATTATTTCCATGGCAACACATTTTTTTACAGTATTCCAATATTACTTTACCAACATCATGTACTTTCATCATTATTTATTTCTATTAAAATTATACATTTAGAACCATAAATATTAGAATTTAGTGTTCCACAAAAGAAATATTTGGATATGTTCAAAATGTATTTTCATTATATTTTTCAAGTTTTCATTATTTTGGTAAACTAAATTACCAGCATTGCATGCATTTCAGCTGTCATATTCCAACGCTTTCTCTTGTTTACATCAGACATAGAAAAACTACAGTACAGTCAGAGTGTGAGTTGAAATTTAACTAGCTTTACGCAGGGTTAAATATCTAAATTACGTATTCAGTCAGGATATTTCTCATATTACCAGTAGTAATGTAGGGGAATACTACTAAAAATATAATTAAATTATTGATGACAATATCTCTCGCTTAAAAATTATAAGTTTCTAGCCAAAGCCAGCTGTGTTATAGCCAGCTTGGAAGGAAGTTATACTAGGACTATATTGTATATTGCAAAATGGAAATAGAATTCCATTCATGGATGAAATGTTTGAACTGCACAAAACCTTGTTATTGCACTTTCACGCTGTTATATCTCATTATGTTATTACAAGCACGAAAACGATGTATAATATTGAGAAAAACACAATGTATATACGCTCGCAGAACACGATAATATCAACCTCCACTATGCATCAGTCAATACAATCGTCACAACGCTTAAAATCATACTCTGGATAACCTCATATTATTAAACAAAATACAACAAAAATCCAAAATTGTACCAAATAATAAAAATAACAAATTGAACATATTTCCATACATGAGTGTTATACTTTATTTTCACTTAGAATTAATTTTCGCTATAAATTTTGGCTGCAGGAATGAATGAAAATAAAATCCAGCGAATATACCTTTTTTTTCTATATTTTGCATTCAACTCGCCAGAAATCAGTGAAAATAAATTCCATACAAAACACACACAAATTATTTTTCAGCGAAAATTAATTCCAGCTAAAATATAGTACCACAGTACCTGAATATTTGGAAATGATAGTAAATTAAGTCCAACAACAAAATATACATGTTTCAGCTGACGATGTGCATCAGTTTAAATTACACCATAGCTATTAGGTTTGTTGTCAGAAAAAAATCTATTTTCAATATATAAGCAAAATTAAATATTAGCCAGATTTGAAAAAAATGGGAAAAACTATACTGCACTTGTCACATTTTTCGATTTATACTCATAGCGAAAAAAAAAACATCGTCTATACTTATCTAACAGATTTTGGAGGGTATACTACTGTAAAATCTGTATTAGAAGCCGCGGCTTCTATTAAAATGGTACAATGCAACAGAGGGGATGCGGCTTCTATTAGAGCATCTACACATATGAGAAATGATGAATTTTTGGTTCTCAATTATTCAAATAGAATGGATGCGACTTCTATTAGGGATGCGGCTTCTAATACAGATTTTACGGTAATAACATCTGGTTCTTGTTATAAGCAGTATAAAAGTCTTCAAAATTGCACCTGCTAGGCACACAAAAATTGAGTTTTGTTGAAATTTCCAAATAACATTCCCAAATTTGAAGATGATCAGATAATTATTTGTGTTATTGTAACCAAAAAAGAAGACAATTTTAAACGAATTTAAACCAAATATCTTGAAAAGACAAAGACAGACTGTTTCCCCTTATAAACCATGACCTTCATCTATGAAGATACAGTGTAGAAAGACCAATACATATAACCATGTTCAGAATTTATAACAGAAGCAAAATTTAGTCGTCAAAACTGCACATGTTCACAGGAAGTGCTCACACAACGAATGTTTACACGATATAATCATAAATTTTTAGAGATATGCGAAAAGTTACAGGAAAAGCTAGTAAATTGTCAAAATTATGTGTGGTACTCGATCATAATTAAGGCAGCTTTTACCAAAATGATGATTATATATAACTTTCTTCATGCTTTTATTACTATGGATTAATACCTATGTGACACCAAAAATGAAACAAATAAATTGGGGTCATGGGAAAACTTTTCAAGAGTCCAAAATATCATGGTAATTGGTCTACATTTACATATTCTCACTTGTTTCTATGGTGATATTATCTTAGAATTTCGCTCAGTAACATGGAAGGAAATAGTTATAATGTTATTCATAAGAATCCAAATATTCAATTGTTAAACCATTAAAAAAAATTGCATTCAATTCAGTGTGCTTTCACTGCAATGGTATGTTCTTTCCCATAATGCACTGCATATTCATGCAGTCTCATTAGTAGTACAAAATTTGCATTAAACAACCAAATTAAAGTTTCTTTTTTTTGTACTGACAGTGTTTAGAAGTGAGAGTGCTACAAACAACCTCAAATTAGAGAAAATTCAAAATTAACCTGTAAACAAAAAACAAGTGTACTAAAAGCATCCACAGTAAAATGGAACTGGAATTAATATTTGAGTATTAGAGACTTGATCTGAGCAGCAGCGTAAATTTCCACCTGCTGTAGTCAGGACCACATTATAGATATTATTAATGGCATAATAAACTTAACAGGCGTGAAACCTACCTAAACAAGGTGTGCAGACAGCTGGTCATTATAAAGTGTTTATATTATGCTTTTTAGAGAAATGGATATCTCATTATATGTTATCTCTTCCATACTTCCGTTTTTGTATAGAGTAATAGCTATAGTAAAATCTATTGTTCAACTCTCTAGATTGCAACCATTTTGGTTGCCATGGTGATTCAATTTAGTGAATTGCGATTGAATAAAATATCTAGGTCACCAACATTCTGTATTATAAAACATAATATAGAGCATTTCTTTCCACAATTTAACACTTTGCATATTCGCATTTTGTTATCCGTTGTATGCAACAACATACAATGATTGCTGCATATTTTACAAAATTCACTGAATAATAAACCATCAGTTTATAGTGTAACGATGTGATTGAATGTTAACCTCAAGCTGTTAGTGAATCAGCATCAGGTGATACACGGTATATCGTTTCTGATGATGAAAATAAAATGACGCCTCCCGCCCAGAAAGTCAGAGTTTGCATGTTGCTTAATCTGAGATAAGACGGATATGACGAGCCAAGCAAGATAGTATGGGTAGAAAATTCACAGTGCCTCGGTCAAAGACCTTTTTATTGAATAGATATCTGAATTTTCATATAATTGTTTTTTCTGTGTAGACTATTATGTAATTGTATAACATAATAAACTCTGGCGACTAGCGACTTGGTTGCCCATGGCTACTAGAGAATAAATCTTACTTTGAAGACTGTTGCGAGATGATATGGTAGCACATCATCTACCGGTAGGTAACATTAAGATTAAAACTATTATGTAGAAACACTTCAACAACAACTCACAGGGGAATGAGGAAACTAGTAATATAGTAGATCACTTGCCAATAACTGCAAGGCAATGTGAACCAATTTATTTAGGAAATGTCTACACAGGGGGAGGGATAATTCAGAGGACCACGGTTCCATTCCGTGTGATTGTCACACATGTCATTTTATTGTGGAAACTAATTATATTTTTGATTCTATAATACTGATAAAAAGAAAATAGAACAAGTTGCGGCACCAATAATGTGGTTTATTGTATTGTGTGTAGTTAATGTGGAAATTTTTTATATTGGGTCTACAGTACGTCGGCTGGGGAATCACTTTGCTTAATATTTGCGGTATACCAGGCGAGAGTACCATCTTTATCTGCTGCCATTTTATATTTGTTCTAGGTGAAAGCATTTCAGATATGTTCATTTCTGCGGTATATTTTATTAAGGGTAAACATCAGCTTAGACATGCAGAAGAGAAAGTAACATACATACTTAGAACTATGGAATCTAATTAAATGAATTAACAATTTATATCATTCCTGTGAATCTAATGTTCTAATTCCATTGTTCTGTTTTCTATGATCTTTCACTAACAGGTATTACACTGATGAAGGCACATTTCCTGAAATGTCTAATCGTATGGAATAATTACCAATTGCTATGGTTACCGGTACATACTACCGATTTCTATATGTTATGTTTATTGGTCTTAGCAGCTTTTGCAAATTTTACAATCACTGTCAGTGTCTGTTTATTATATATTTTCTACCAGCGGTGAAATGATTGTGCCAGGTCAAAGGTCATATTAATCATTGTGGAAATCTATTACGACAGTATTGACGCAATACTGTATTGTTATTGTCCAAATAGTGTTCGATCATTCGTTCCGCCATTTTATATAATAAATAACGTCCGAGCCTTCTTGAAAACAAATGTACAACATAAAACTAAGCTAAAATAAATTTTAAGGGTGGTGGTTGTCGTGCCGCGTTCTGTTCAATATGGGACTCATAGCGACGTATACAACATCTGGTGAAATACATTGTTGTTTACATGAAATTTGAAGACGCACTGCGCGACGACCACCGCTCGATCAAAAATGAATATCCCTATACATTGTGTTGCTATTATGTATTTAAAAAGTGAACCCCTGATTCAAAAGGTTGGCAACAAAATAAATAAGTCAACTGTCGTGTTTGATACGGGTCCTTTACAATGTATACACAATGCATAATGCAATTGTTTGTTTACAATGAATTCGAACCCACACAACGACTGTGGCTTTTTAAAGAACTGTAAACCATCAACAAAATATAACATTAAAATAAACAAAGAAAAGAAATGTACTGTCGCGTCACATCGCAACTGCCAAGCCCACCCTAATATTACAGTTGTTCCATCCCTTGCCATATTATTCACCTATATTGGTTAGTTTTAGTCATGGACTGAGTGGTTTCCATAGTTCTAATTAGTTTTTGAGCCAATTAGCACAACACAGTTAAGAAATTCATGTAATTTCTTTAAAAATCCCATATGATAAGCTGGATTGATGTCAGCATATTTAATTAGTCTGTCGTGTATTTCGATGTACTTACCGAGGTGTTCTCTTAACACCTGTGAATAAGGGAACTCCATATTGTAACGGGATCCCAGGTTACACGTATCGCAAACACTCCGGTCTACATAATGTATCCGTGTTCACGGACAACAAACGCTGCGTTTTGTCCATGGAAGTGATTTTTGAAGTCACTGCATACGTTGCGTTGGTAACTAATGCTAATGGAAACACGGTTAATTCGTGGTTTACTTCATCCGCACCATCTTTGAAGGCTGGATTTCGTCATCACTCGATCCGATAAATGTCCCGTAGTCACAAAACCGAATTAGTGAAATGTCCACCTCGTCAGACGTTGAAACACGAGTCAGTATTGCACTATTTCACGTATTCATATATACAGGCAAACAAGATGGGCAGTTTGCCCTTAACGAACATGAGATGTGTTTCCAACGATATTTTCCAAACGTCAGTCCCTAATTTTCGCACTAGACTGATTTGTTGTGAACATCTATCCCAATATTTCCGCAGATATAGTGATTACCAGCGAAGGTCGTTTAGCTGTGATCTTTTCTGCATATATTGTCACTGATGCACTCCATATTTGCCACCCAGTGCGTTTCAACACTGCGCATGCGCGATCTTCGGTCACATTCACTGGACTCCCTTCAGATTACTGGAACATTCGTCACACGGAGTTTAGCTTTGGGTGCGTGCCTTTGACTGCCAGTAAATAATAACTACGGATATGCCCATCGGTCACATTTTTTAATAATAGTGCGTTGACATATTAAGGGGTATAAAAGCGTAAAGCCACTCAGTAAATTTTCCCGTAATTTTCCGCGATTGCAACCACCGTACACTAGTACTGAACCGCGCATACGTTTATCTTTAAAATGTGATAAAAGATAAAGTTGCAACTTGAGCTCGCAAAATTGAAAAATTGATATATACATAAAGCATGCGATTTTTTTCTTACAGAAACTACAACCATATAAAGTGTTTATATGTATAAATTACTTGACTGGAAATAAAGAGAGTTTTTTTCAAGGAACAACAGAATATAGATTCTTATATTGAAAAGGCAATCCCACTACTCAATGTGTGGGCAGACTCATATTGTGAAGTTAAAATTACGTTAATTTGTTGTCTAATTCTTTTGGCGTCATAATTTTTTCAGACATAATTTTGATGCGGCATTTGTTTGGATCAAATGACCGAATTTTTCTATTAGATACAGACCCCACAATTACGGGGGTTTGATTTTGCAAAGGGGGCAGTGGTAGATTGCCATTGAAATCTAAAAGGGCTAAACTGTTTACAAACAAGCGTCTACCCATGAGCTTTTGCGTTCTTCGCGTGTGTTGTCATCATCGCTTGGGACTCAACTCCCGCGCGTGCGCAGGAGACGATCCTCCCGCTTTAATTCCACGAAACATTTCCGATCAGGACTGAGCATCATGATGGGGAACTAGAACAATTTGATATCACAAAATATACTAACAATTGTGCATACCGAATGGGCACATGTAAACAATAGAGTGGGCGAATGCCAATTCTACGGTGGGCACATGTCAACAATAGGGTGAGCGAATGTCAACTCTACGGTGGGTACATGTCAACAATAGGGTGGGCGAATGTCAATTCTACGGTGGGCACATGTCAACAATAGGGTGAGCGAATGTCAACTCTACGGTGGATACATGTCAACAATAGGATCGGCACATGTCAACAATAGGGTTGCCAAATGTCAACACTACGGTGGGCACATGTCAACAATAGAATCGGCACACGTCAACAATAGGGTGGGCACATGTCAACAATAAGGTATACACATGTCAACAATAGGGTGAGCGGATGTCAAGAATAGGGTATACACATGTCAACAATAGGGTGAGCGGATGTCAACTCCACAGTGGGTACATGTCAACAATAGAATCGGCACATGTCAACAATAGGGTGGGCACATGTCAACAATGGGATGGGAACGTGTTAACAATAGGGTGGGAACATGTTAACAATAGGATCGGCACATGTCAACACTAGGGTGGGCGAATGTCAACTCCACAGTTTAGTTTTGTGTGTTCTA